CAGATATTTGTACATATTATATGTAATCATTAAAATATATTCATTTCTAATTGAAAAAATTGACTTTGTTTTTTTGAAAATACATTTTTATTACCTCTCTTAATTTACATGAAATGTTAATTTCGGTAATATCTTTATAAATAATGCTTTTTGGAACGTACGAAATTGATAAATCTTAATTTGAGCATCATATCTATGATATAAAACCATAAAAAATGTGTGTTACAGGATCCAAAATAAAACCAAAATAAATGCATGGCATAAGAAGGATATGTCAGATTACCTTTGCTTTTTTCATATGCCTACTTATCTAAATTCTTGGTATAAGTAAGTTTCTATACAACAACCTAGATACGACGAAAATGTTAGCTGTTGTTAAAAACTCATGATGATGTGGAATATATGATTGGGCTTTTAAGATATTATTTGAGTAAGTTTTTGTGTTCGCCTGAATTTCACAAGATATTGGTAATCCTTATCTGTTCATCCATTCGTTTAACAGAGACTGGTTGATTGCTACAATCAATCAAAATAAGAATTATAATATTAATGCTTCCAAACACATCTAAATGTAGAAAAAATAATTATCTGTGTCGCTCACTATGCAATGTCTTCAAATCGTATTGGTCTTATTTGTGTCGCTCAATTTGTCATGTCATAAAGTCAAATTGCCCGTATTTTTCTCGCTCACTGTCTAAAGTCATAAAGCCATATTAACCGTATCTGTGTCGCTCACGTTGTCATGTCATGAAGTCACATTGGCTGTACTTGTGTCACTTACTGTGTCATGTCATTAAGTCATTTTGGCTGTATCTGTGTCGCTCACGTTGTCATGTCATATAGTCATATTGACCGTATTTGTGTCGCTTCCCCTGTCATGTCATACAGTCACATAGACATTATCTGTGTCGCTTACATTGTCATGTCATAAAGTCACATTGGCTGTATCTGTGTAGCCCACAATGTCATGTCATAAAGTCACATTAACCTTCTTACTCTCGGCCACTGTGTCATGTCATTAAGTCACAATGGACGTTTTCGTGTTGCTCACTGTGCCATGTCATAAAGTCACATTGGTTGAATGTGTGTCGCCAACTGTGTCATGTCATAAAGTCATATTAGCTTGTCCTGTGTCGCTCACTGTGCCATGTCATAAAGTCACATTGGTCGTATCTGTGTCGCGCACAGTGCCATTTCGTAAAGTCACATTTGGCATGTAGTATTAACAACGGAAACTTTATAAATATTGCATACGTTATACAGCTAAGATCAAAATGACACACCCTATATGGTCTAATTACTAGTAAAATACTTACTTTTGCATTTTGACCTTTTTAGCAATGCATCTAAGGTGAGCGATTTAGGGCCATAATGGCACTCTTGTTTTCCTCTTTTGTTGTACTGCTCTATTGTTTTAGCAGCTTACATTTGTTATTTTGATATTGAAATACGATACACCTTGTGTACACAACTCTCAAATTAAAGCTTGGTATTTGAATCTCTTTCATTAAAAGTTATATTTATGTTATAAACTTTTTTAATTTGAGAGAGACTAAAAATCACACAAAAATACGGTATATACCAGGCAAGATGCCTGAATGATTAAATGTTAAAATATTTTAAAGCTTCTTTCCCACACAAAACGGGACTAAGAAAACATATTTGTTTACAGTTATTAAATATGCATGGAATTAAAATTTGAAGTTTTCACAAGATGACTGTGACCTTATGTTATGTTTCACTTGACACAGATATAAACAACCATATTAGCAAGTAGTATTGTGTAAATATTGTTCATCATTATGTAAATATATCGAATAAAAATATGTTTAAACTAAGTAACACAGCTTGATTCAGGTAGACCTTCCTATATAAATGTCAGTTTTGTTTAACCGGATTGCCGATATATATGCTTTTTTGTCTCTTTATATTAACATTATTTTCTATGATAATAATTCATAATTTCCTATAGAGCAATCGATTGCAGAATAACAAACTTACCAAAAGCACCACTGTTGAAACGGCAACCAAGGGATCTACTATCAATTAGTGAACAGGAGTGTTCAAAATTTAAGTTGATATTTATAGAATAAAACGTTGCAACGGCTCAAAATTACAGCATCATAAATATGGCAAAAATTTTACTCATATGATTTTTTTTATAAATGTGCCTGTGGTGATATTTTTTCTCTTGATGACATTTTATTTCAAAAACGCCCAAGAATAGCCTTAAAAAGTCTAGAATTCATTTTTTCACATTGACTTATAAATGATAATCAATGAAAAATGTCGCTAAAAAGCGATATTTATCTATTTTATAACTCTGATTGATTCCTGCAAGCGTCTATAAGTATTGCTTCATGGATACTGTAGTGAATTAAATCCTTGATGTTGTATTTGCATTAAATTACAGGTATAGCTGAATTCAACTTCTGTAATTGGATGAACTCAGGGCTACAAAGTTGTATAAGGTAAGATATCCTTACTTAATAAAAAAAATTATCACATTTTTTCAACCTACTTTGTGAAATACTGGTAATAATTCTTTTAAAAAAAATGGTAATAAATTATTCTAATTTGTAACTGATGGGCTTTCAGTGTTGATATTCCAGTGTATCAGGTTTGGAAATATGGAATAATGATGCTGACTGTTAATGTGACATTATCATCAGTTGACCTTCACCTGTTCACCCACTATATACTTTAGGATGGCCATATTCTCTCCATGTTTTTAATTAAAATATATTGTATTCTTATGTAATTTTGTATTTGTGTAGTGGTAAACGGAGCCAAGAGGAAGTAATTGTTGCTCCTACAACTCCAGCAGTTACCACCCTTGCTGCACAGCTTACAGAAGACAATGAAGATTTTGCTGGAAGGGGACGCATTATCACTAATCAGAAGAAGTGCAGGGAGAGAACTTTGGATGATTATGATGATGACAGTGAGAGTTAACTTTCCTGGCTAAGGATGAAGTTTAAATTCTTGGAAATTTAAGCTTGGTAAATTATGTTAACACTTAATTCAAATGTTCCTTGCCAAAGCTTTTGAATTGTCAAGGGACAGAAATGCCATTGGAAGAAATGTTAGAGTTAGTGTTCATGACTGTCAATGATACGTTCATAATAATGTTGTTAAAAGAGATAAATGTAAACTAACATTAGATAGTAAGCTAGCATTCCAGATTATACTTTATAAGTTTAAGATTGACTAAACAATGCAGAGTTATCAAACTGAGTCGATCAGATTTCTGGTTAAAGTTTTTGTGCCGTAGAATATTCATTACTATATTTCAAGGAATTTATTTCAAACTTTATATGTATATGTTTCTTATGATTCCCTTATCATATATGACAATATGACAAGATTGGTTAAGTGAAGCACATATATTAAGGAATAAACTAATAAAAGGAATGGACTGAAACAGTTCGCAATCTTATTTGAGAGTATAATAGGAGATCACTGTATATGGCCAATAACATGAGTGTTTGACAGAGTTATGACCCTTTTTGAACTTGATTTTTTTTTTACCTTATCAAGTCTCTTGTTTTAATCAAGCATTGACAATAGTGGAGCACATTGTCCTACTTACAGCCCATTTATCATTAATAGTTATCTAAATAAAATCTATTACTAATGTGGTAAAATGTAATGTTATAATTCTCCTAACTTAACTTTGATATTGTAATCATGTTATTTTATTTAAGTTGTTGTGTTTGAAGCCAAAATTTTGTAGTTTTGCAATATATATAAAGTGTATATTTCTTGTATGTACAGTTGATATGTTGTGATGTGGTAAAGTTAATGTTCAAGTTGTGATATTTACTTTAAGTTATTTTAGTTGTATGTTACCGACATTGTTAGAAAAGGAAAGATTCTATTTCCAAATGTTTTAGCTAAACTATTCATAGAATACCGGACGTAATACACAATACCCATTGTTTATGCGTTTAGTATGTGGCTGTTGGTTTAAATTTGAGGCCAAGTTAATATTTCGTTTTTATACTTTTTAAACCACTGATGGTATTCAATTAAAACTTCACACATCTGTAGCAATACTATTGTAGATCACAGAAAGAAAACCCAATGATTTTAGCATATGTTTTGACAGAATTATATTTTCTTTACTGCTTAAAATAAATATATAAGATCAATATCTTGAATTGGTTCAGATGTTAATTTAAACCTGTAGCTTTGAGACTATAAAATCTTGCTAAACTTTGGACTAAATTAAAGCTTTCTGTGAATCTATTCTGCATTTTCCAGAGCCTTGTTTTACTATTAAATACTGAGAAAATTAAACGCATTTACTTCTGCTATTTATTAACAGGCTTAATCAATTGAGTCTGCAATATTGTCAATTTTGCTGTATTGGCTGACTTTGAATGTTTCCATTTTACCTATTCTGATCAGAATATTATCATCTCCAGCTATTACTATTGTGGTTTTTTGACATGACAAACTGGAAATATTTGGCAACTGGAAATATTTGGCTAACTTTTAATGTTTCAATTTTAATTTTAAGGGGGCTATTGTGTTCAGATTAGAAAATTATTATCGCCTGTTGTTAAAGAGACTCTACTGAGGTTTTTGGATGTGACAGAACTGGAAATATCTTTTTAGATTTTTATATCATTTCATGTAGGTCTATAACAATAGCTTATGTGTAAAATTTGAGATTATAAGCTCACTCCTGTTTTTTTAAAAATAACTGTTTTAATGCGAAAAATGACCTTAAAATGCGTATTACTCTTTTCGGGCTGACAAACACTCTACATATTGACCTATAACTTAAGTTTATCTTTTTATCCCCTTTCAAGTGACCAGATTGATGTTTTTTCAGATTTTCAAATTAAATTTTTTTAAGCTATTGGACCTTAGTGGAGTTTCCTTACAGGAATCGTGTGCGACTAACTGTTTTTGGCTTACTTATATGTAATCAAATAATCAATCACTTCATATAAATAAACCCTTATATGACTTGACAGTAATAATAAAGGAATATTTATTAAATGTAAAATGATTTTATTTATTTGATCCAACAAACACAAACATGTTCATTGTGTAATGAAATAATATGTACCTATGCCATATGAATAAAAATATGAATAGCAATTGAATATGTGAATCAAAATTCAATATAGAACAGAACAGAACAAAGTTTATAACTTGTACACACATAGGTAACAAGCATTTTGGAATATGATTTTAGGTCACATATTTTACAATATAGAAAAAAACACACATAAAGAAAAAAATAAATACAATACATATATACAGTAAATATACATATTTATTATATACTTACAAATGAAATATTGAGAAATATTGATGAAATAAAATGCGTATTTTCATTTTCCGTATTTTCACTGTAAAAATTTATTTTTCACTGCAGTGAAACATATTTTCCGTATTTTCACTGGTGTCTTGCCGGACTACTTTCTTTTAAATTCTGCCAGTACACAAAATTTAAGGGAAAGTCTTTCAAATTTTAATGTCAAAAAAGAGAAAAATGTATATATAATAAACAGAAAATTCAAGTTTTGTCTATAAATACATGATTTATTTTCATCTTGTGGCTTGAAAATTACCATATTTCACTCGTGGCTACCGCCACTCATGAAATATTTATTTTCATACCACTCGATGAAAATAAATAATGTATTTATAGACAAAACTTGAATATCCTCTATGTATTTATCAATGTAGAATGAACTAATATGTACCTATGCCATATGAATAAAATATGAATTGAAATTGACTATGTGAAGCAAAAGTCAATATATTTACATGCGATATGTAGAGAGCATATAGAACATATTTTCCATATGTGTAAAGGATCTTTAAGACACTATGTAAAATTCCTGATTAAAATACTGCATAGTTATATATACGTAATGACACAGACATTATTGTTATTATTGTATGATATTGTTGTTATTGTACGCATTTATTTACTTGTGTTATACTGTATTATTTGACATGTTGATAACATTATTTTTGAATAAAATATCATGGAAAATATCCATACACTTTGGGTGTTTTTTACTTAAACAATCATTAAGATTTATACCTTTGACTTTAAAAAGGAAGAAAAAGGAGGTGTCTTATACCTAGTAAAAAATAAAATTCTTATGTTGTATTGTCAAAGTAAAAGTTTATAAACATATTTCTTGCTTTATCTACACTTTGAATTTAAAACAGAAAATCATTTTTGTTCCGCAATCTAGTGACTGTGAGGAAATTTCTAACTTTACATTATGCCAGTAAAAATAAAGTGTATTATATATTAAGAAATCTTAACTTTATTTAGTTGTCCATTATATGATCACAGTATCCTATTTATTCATTTTGTTTGAGTTTCACATTGTTTCCGCAGTTTAAGGACTCTTATTTTGTCTGAATTTCCTGCTACTATCAGAGCTTTATTTTTCCTATCAAATGTTACTGTAGAAATAAATGCATATGTCATGTCAGATACCTTTGTTATGAATTGAAGAAAAGTTCTACCATCTTCACTCATTTGTAAAAAATTCCCATTCGTACAATTTACAAAAACATACCCTTGATCATCTACACAAACTCCACATAAGCTTTGTATGTCTAGATTGTTTAATGTAAACAAATGGTTTCCATTGTTGTCAATGGTAACAAGCTTATTATGATATGGTAGGTATAACTTACTTCCATCATTACTCACAGTAATATTGTTACCTGCAGATATACCATTTGTAGATGAATAAATCATCTGCTGCTTTATACCATCTGTACTATAACTATAAACAGAACCATAAGAGTCTCTAACATACATCTGATCACCATGACAAGTCAGACCACTACACCTATGATCTGTATAAATGGATCTACTCAGTGTCATACTACGTTTTGTATTAACAAACTGAAGTTTGTCCCCCAACAGTGATACAACAGCTACATTATCCCCGACATAGCAAACATCAAGTGGTTCACCAGGAAGATCACACACACACTTTACATTATACATGTTATCAAGTTTCTTCAAGTTATTATTATTGTTATCTGCAAGCAGAATTTCTCCTGAAGGTAGTATACAACTTCCGTTAATGAAACATTCCTGACTATCATCATTGGTACTGATTTTAATTTCACTTTTCTCTTCGACTGACCATACATCTGACGACATTGACCTCGATCTCTTTACACTCAAATCAATTGTCTCGGTCAGTAAATCACTGAAATAGGGCATATATTCGTAAATGTTTAAAATGATATAATTTTTGTCAGGGGTATTGAAATATAAAATCAAATGTGTAAAGTAAAATAATCAAATATTGACCATTTTTTTTATTAAAAAACATGTTTTAGCAAGAAATGTTTTAATTCAATATTGCAGCTTTATTAAAGATACTTTAGATGAAAGTGATAGAAAGAGCAAACATTTCATGATTTATTGATAAAACTGCACTAAATAATAAATAAAACTAATGTCTTTATAAGGACAAAAAAGATAAAAAAATTAATAAATAAATAGGAAAAATCGTTTAATTTAATCTTTGTCTCCAGTCAATGCATAGCAATTAGCTAGTTCAATTCATTTATTGAAATGTCCCATCGGAACACCAGCAATATACACAATATAATATTTACTTTCATAAAATATAATTATATTTGAGTATTTGTAAACAACTGGTGTAAATGCGTATCCGAGTATTGAAGAAATAACACATCTATTTAAAGAACCTGTTGATATATGAGGGGTTATAAAAATACGAAGTAACTTCTGTATTTGACGTCAGAGAGCTTTAAATTGCTGGTAGATTTTTAAGCTATTTATTATGAAATCAGGTAAGAAGTCTGAAAATTAATGCATTAAGTTATAATTGCCAAATTTATGCGATAATGCACAATAAGCAAATGAATGCTCTTGAGACTCTTTATGTTTTAAGATAAATTATTAATTTTGATTAATCGCATAGAGGATATTGAATGAGTGTAGATTTAATCCTATTTTTTTCTGGCTAGTATTATATTGTTTTATTTCATGCTATCCAGTGTTTTATTGTAATATATCAGATGATTATATTCTGATAAACCACTAGTGAAATTTATAAAAATATAATTTTCACCGAGCTGGACTTGGCCCTATATGAAAAGAAAATCATAACTAAATGGAATGACAGGCAGAAATAAATGCCGTCATGCGTAAATTTTGCTTCTTTAAGAAAAGAAAGTCGATGTCATCATACATCATATTGAAAATGTAACAAAATTAGAGAAATTTAACAGACCTATGTTTCAAAACTGATGATGTGACGTCATGATGTGATGACGTCACAAAGGGGAATGCGCGACGTTACGCGGCAAAATCAGTTAAAAATATTAAAATCACATAAAAAGCATGAAAAATAAAAAGAAAATTCATTTGCTTTGCATATAAGATTGAAATATATTTCATTCGTGAACACCAGCTTTTTATATTTTGCATCTGGTGTTCACTCAGTGAAATTATATTTCAATCTTACATGCAAAGCAAACAAATGTCCTCTATTTATTCAACGAGTTCAATAAATTTAGCGTTGAATCTACACAAATATAATATTCTTTTTTTATCACATAACTAAAATAAGAACGGTTTACTAATAAAAAGAGTCATTTTTCGTTGAAGAGCCTATATAACGCTAACGTTTGTGCGCTTTAATGCTATGTTTGTAAACATAATGCCAGTAACGTCAAATCAAAGTGTTATTACAGCATTTAAACCATTTAAGTTTTTCAAATTGCATTGTCAAAAAAAATGTTTATGATAAACTGAAAATTCAAGTTTTTTTTACCGATTTATTTTTCATATTGTGGCCTATCATGAAAATATTTATTCATGAACATATGTATTTTTATACCATTCGTTGAAATAATTTAAAAAAAAGCAACATGTTTATTTCTGAAAAAAAAAATAAGCATACAAGTTACTGACTTAATAATTGTCTTTCATTTATTATTCTAAAATAATGACGAACGACTAGCAAATACAGAGTGACTCACGTACAGCCAGATCTTTTTGCTAACTGTACGGATCCGTACGACTAGCCACTACGTCATCGTTAGTGATGTCATGAAATTAAATAAAAAAATCTTTGTCGCACTATCCATTTTATCATAGAAATGGTAGCAGCATGTTTTCTCTACATGGGTACATCAGTGCAAACATTTTGTGCCGGCGCACGGGGAAGTTGTGTTAAGCTGTAAGATCACTTATGCAACGTTGTTCTTGGCGTCGTAAATCTGCCAAGCCCCGGGTAGTGTTTATTTTGCCATGGTATTTCGATAAAATTTTCGGAAATTGTGTAGCAGATATTGCATTTTATCACAAACACGTGCCGCTTTTGACGACTCCGTAAAAAAGGTATTGCACGGCCGTGTATATATTTTTACGTGAAGTCCTTTGCGGTATACAAACATATTATGATACTGCAAGTTTGTAATGTCGTTTTTCATTGCATAATCGTGACGTTTATATAGATTTTTATAATACTGCACGTTTGTAACGTCACTTTTCATTGGATAATCGTGACGTTCATATAAATAAATTTTATATACACGGCTGCTGTCGATTCATGAAGAAATCTTACATTTTTCTCTATTAAATGATGCTTGCTGTATTATAAATTCGTTATAAAGATCGTTGACAGGTTATATGACCGTATATAAACGGCTGTTTGCAATTTAACCATCGCCTAACCAGGCCCTAACGGCTCGAGTTATATTTACAAACAGCCGTTTATATAGGGCCATATAACCTGTCAACGACCTTTATAACTAATAATATACACGACTGCTGTCAATTTATGAAGAAATCTCACTTTTTTTCTCTAAATAAGAAAGTTTGCTGTATTATAAATTCGTTATAAATATTTTGACATGTTATATGGCCGTATATTAAACGTATGCCCAGCGGCACGGGTTATACATATACAAACACCCGTTTATATAGGGCCATAAATGTCAAAGATCTTTATAAATAATAGTGTAAATGTTAGCGTTGTCTACTATAGGCGCGTCGATGAAAAATGATCATTTTGCATTTTAACTGTCTTTTATGGTGGTACGTTATAAATAGAACAATATATTAGTGTAGTTGATCGGGTTCGTGCAATAAAATAATGTCATGCTCGCCACAGACTGGCATAGTATACTTTTATTCAACTCATTCAATAAATTTAGTACTCACTTACACTCATTCGGTATCCTCTATATATGAACATTGATTGTTTTTATTTTTTAGGGAGAGCCAAGATATTTTCTGATAATTATGTATTTCATTACATGGATTTTAGATAAAATGAAATCAGAAAGGTAACAACTATTGACTGTCTTTAACATGATAGTGTTTTATACTGGGAAATATATATATTCATTAAAACTGAATGCCTCCAGATGAGCCAAAATATTTCAAGAAAATCGATTTTATATCAATAAAGAGGAAAGTCGAAATAACGCCAAATAGGTATGTTTTCGTGTCTTCGCCTTTCCAATTTCGGGGCAAAAACACGAAATGGTAGAAATCAGCATCCAAACATATGAGACTCCGCTATTTTTAGTAACATTTACGGATTATTCTATCTGGCTAGTGAGAAATATAGGTACAGGTATAATACAGGTATTTTTGTATCAAATAGCTAAACAGGGGCTGACAAAGAATGTTTTCATATTGTACCTTTGTAATCCTCTTTTCAACTGCATCGAATTTTGTATTCCTGAAATGAAATGTTCATGTACATATATTTTGAGGGTAATAAATAAGGGTAATTCTATGTCTTCCTTAATGATAGTAATGGTCTGAATCGACAAGTGAATATGGTGAATTGAAAGTGATTGATTGAATTCAAGTAGACAAGGATGAATTTAACTTAAATATTAACTTTGTGGTTTATAACTGCATTTTAAAGTCATCAATTCATCAATAGTATGCATTTATGTAAAATAAACAAATAAATCAATATAACAAAGGAGGACAATATTTTTTTAATAAAGGGTTATATCTATTATTATCTACGTGTAAAATTGTAGTAATTCATAAAGATACGTGCGTTCTTCACTGAATATTGATGTGAATATTTCTATAAAGACATACAAACGTATTCCAAGATAAGTTTAAATCTTGCACATATATTTTTATTAATACACATTGTATTTCTTTTGATAATCTATAAAGGGCCTTAGCTAAAATGCAGAATCAGAGTTTGATTATATTTGATTAAATAACTCAAAACTACTTATACAGCTAGATGAAAAACTGAAAATCTGTATCTCACAATGACATCTGTGCACTGTTTTGTTTTATGTTGATAATGCAATTGATTTGAATGTTATATTTTGAACAAAATGAAGAAATAAAGAGATAAGTATTAAAACCAAGGACAATGGCGAATACGTTATGGCGTGAAGAGCTGCTTCACTTCTTATTTATTGCATCACTCCATAATAACTTATATGTACTTAATAGGTTTAACAATAATACCTTTTTACTTTAAGAGTAAAAAGTACCGTCCAAACAAAAATTAAATTAAAAAAGATTGGGGATACTTTAGGTATTATGGAATGAAGCAAAACATTTCCAATGCACTGCACTTGTACCCAGTAAGATCTGGAGTTTTAGTTTTATAACTAAATGAGCTGTAGTGTTATGTTTGAAATTAAAACAATGATGGAATGTAAAACGAAGAGATGAAAGTATAAGCAACCAGACTAACTGCGCTAAAGCTATATACAAATGTTTCTGTTCCGCTGCCTTCCGCGAGAAATAATAGAAGCTCACTATTATAATTACTGTTTTGAATATTAATTTTATTAAATATAAATGATAATTAATTTAAGACAAACCTTCCCTTTGTGCTCTACCTAGAAGTGACGTATTTTCTGTAGAAATCGGAAGCAAGATTGGCCCTTGTGACGGTACCACTGGCAATGGTGGTGCGTAGTTATAAGACTGTGTAGTATTTGATATTGTGCCTATAGAATGATTTGTATTGAGTGACTGTCCAAACACATGGCCATATTCTAGTCCTGTGTTAAAAAGAAAAAAGAGAGATGTCATTGTATACTCAAGAGAAGATTGTTTAAGAAAATAATTAATTACTAGAAACCTCGCACTGGTCAAAATGTAATGGCATGCAACACATACAATTCATTTTAGACAAACCTTCTGTTTGTGGTGTACCTTGAAGTGAAGTATTCCCTGTTGAAACCGGAATCATCGTGTTATGACTTGACAGCAAGTTTGGCAATTGTGACGGTACCACTGTCAATTGTGGTGTGTAGTTCTTAGACTGTGTGATATTTGATATGGGGCCTATAGAAAGATCTGTAGTGACTAACTGTCCAGACACATGTCCATATTCTAGTCCTGTGTTTAACAGAAAAAGAGAAATGCATGCAATCTTAAATATTACTACTGTCAGTACAAACAATTCAACACCATTTTGTATCCCACAGAAGATTGTTTAAAGAATATTAAATTACTATAAACTATACTAGAAACATGTCACTTGTCAGAATATAATGGCATGCATCGCAAACATTTTTTTATTTCCTGTGGAATCGACACAACCGTCAATAATTTAAATCTGTAAATGTTTCAGTCTTAACCTTAAATGACATAACCGATCATTTAGTCACATAATCATTAAAACAGTGAATGTGAAAGTCATGTGATAAATTACTTATTGAAAGCTTCAAGACAAAGTTATGTTAACACTACGCGATAGGCTAACTTACGTTCAGTAACCTCTGATTTAACGACAATTGTTTGTAAAGGTACATCCACCACGTGGTCAAGAATAGCATGCCGTCCAATTTCGTTGATACATTTGTCTAGTTTACCCTTTTCACACGTTATTATCACGTTCATCTGTCCTGCTATAACGGCATTGTACAGGTGGTCAAACATGTTGTACCATTCGTACACATCATTCTCTTCGTAACGATATTTTCCTGCAAACTCGTCAATGATAACCAAGCAGATGTTTGCAAAGTCAATGTAATTGACATCGTTAGGTTTCTTGAGAAGTAAACATTGGGATGATTCATACGCAGACGTTAATGCAACAGCAACTGAAGTTTTTTCACAGTTTTTAGGACCTGATAGAACTATTGCCTTATGTGCCTTGATCTTATCCTTTGCTTTTCTAAGTACGTCTGAATTCACCTGACCGCAAGATATCTGATATGTCTTGAGAAAGTTGCTAGTCATCACTAGAAAAAAAGCAAAAGCAACATGTTCTAGTTTATAATGATGTGAAATGATTTATTAAAGTTTCACACCAGTAGCAAAAGTAAATAATTAAGAATTGAATACATATATACCTTTTAAATTCTTCAGTAATGGCAAGGAAGGCGACTGACTCTGACTTGTACATCCTGAAATATAGAAGACAAGAATAAAGATCAACAAGGCAAAGGCAACGTTCACAGGACGCAGCCCCCGACACACCCTAGAAGGGCACCCAGAAGGCACCCAACCAAAACCTAAAGTAGACAAAAGGGCGGTGAAACGAGAGGGACCTGTAATGTGTTAAATGATATAAACTAAAACGCACCCATATAGGAATTAAAGGGTTTAGGGCTGTAAGGGTGAAAAGGGGAGGGGGTTAAAAAATGGGAGAAGGGTGTGTGAGAAAATACCTACCGTCAACGAAAATCCAACAAGACAGACATCACAAAACATGTAAACATCCAAAACAAGTAAGAATACAGACATGAAAAACACGTGAAAGAACACAGAGGGGTTACGCCTTGGAACGGTTAGTGGTAGTTAAACCACTGGGGAGTTTAAATTGGTTTTAGGCGCGCCAAACCTCACTCCTAGCCCCAATATGTTCCTGAATGACATAAAAGTGTAAATAAAATTAATCCCCGCCAAGTGAAATTCTAACAATGGTCATGGTTACATTAGACGAAATAAACAAAACACATACAAAATTATGTAAATATGTAGAAAAAGGTACAGCCTAATGACCATTACCAAAGTACTCGATGCCTTAAAGGAAGGCAGAGCAACAAGAAAATCACCTACAGGGGCTCTTGCAGCAGTAAAGTTTCTCGTGTCATGGCATGTCCTGGTAGAACATCACCTTTTAAGGAAAACATTCTAGGTTTTATCGTCAGAAGAAGAAAGGCAAATTAAATGAATTAATTGTACAGAATCCTATCGGATTATTTGCATTATTGATTAACAATAAACTTTTAAAGGCACATGAAACTTCAGAAACAAATAAACTTTTCGTTCTTTAGAAAAGGTACATGAGTTTGTTAAATGTAGTAATTATGGGTTTAAAAGAAATAAGCATTGAATGTCATATGCCTTGAGATAAAGGTCGCAAAATGTAAGGGGTGTGGTTTTTTGATTTCAATAAAAATACTTATCCATTTCAGCTGTACTTATTCCCAAACATTCATGAATGACTGAGCTATAAGGTCAATGACTAACGTTTTGGAAACTGAAAAAGTTTTTAAAAAATATTAAACTATGGGCCTTAAATCTCGGAATGATAGAAATATAAATGACATCATATAAAAGACAATTGTATAATAAAAATATACCTATTGTAAGATCAGCCGGTTGTGTTGAACTTGTATCAGTAAACACCTTCACCATTTCGTCTAAGAGTTCATGGTCATGGTGCATTTTGCACTCTTCCAATATCTTCAGGTCACTAACTATGACAATATCCAGGGCTTTATCGCCATTATCTCTCTTTGTTGAATGCATCATGCTTTTAAATATATCATCCATGGCTTTAGCTTTGCTTTCATCATAAGAAATTCTTCCAAAAGGATCTCTACATAAAACCAAGTCTACATCTTCAGGGTCAATGTGTCTCCAATCAGACGAAGTGTGCATTTCTACGCTTCGTTTGTGATTATAGTCCATCCCCTTTACTGCTGCAAGAGCGGTCTCAAAGTAACGGCTATTGTTGCATCCGGTTACAACCACATGATGGCAATCTCTTAGTTTAGATCGAATTTCTGTCATTTCATTTGGCGGATTGAATTCGTCTGATAGTTCTTTCATCGTTGACTCAAACCCCGCTTACAAATAGAAAATGAAATATATATATATATAAATATATATATATATATATATATATATATATATATATATATATATATATATATATATATATATATATATATATATATATAAAAACAAAGAAAACGCAGCTTGTGTTTACTTTTATTTGATCAAAGAGATATTGTTATATATATTCTAAGGTGATAGATTAAATTAGATCAGTCCAGATTAGATAACAATATATTTATTCAGTTTTTTGTGTATAAGACTCGAATCAAATACAAATTTCTCCGTTGAATGTTAAAAAGGAATGTAGATAATACTATTTTAAAGTTGTTTTTTAATAACGAACTTACCTTGAAGCCGTGCCAGAATATCATCAGCAACTTTGATTCTTTTATTTTTGTCCCCTGAAGTAAAGTATATCAATTTCCAATAAAGCGAAACATCAATAAAGTTTAAACTTTCTGAACAATGTCGAAGATCAAAACAAATCTATACAATTTTGAGATTTGTGTAAACAAATTGACTGATATCACTTTGAAATATTTCAATAATTTCACTTAGCTTATCATATCAAATGTTAGTGTTGATTGCGATAAATACAAATTAATACTAAGACATGATCTTATACAAATAAAAAATGGTAATAATTTAATAAGTTAAGTTGATTTATGATTACTGAAACCTACCCAAAGGTCCTGGTTTCTGGGCCGTCACTTGTCTGAGAATGGAAGTTGTTTCTTCGGCATTCGCTTGCACTTCATTCATAATGTTTAACAACTGCTTAGAGGTTTCTTCATGCCAAATACGTAAACAATCACCGAGATTTGGTAGATGATTACATTTTACCTGTTTTATTTTCGCTAGTAAGGATGCTTCATCATTTGGATCAAGCACATTCTTTGCTATTAGCCTAATAGAATCGTCCAATCGTCCCCAATAAATATCAAAGTCATCATCTGAAATGTTGCCAGTAGTTGGGTGATGTTGCAACTCATTCCGAATCCCTCGAATTTCTGTTTTCAAAGCGACGATTACGAGTGGCTGCAGACGTGTGACAAAAAGTTCTGATATCAATAGTACAAGTATTGATACGTCCCATTGATTTTCATCAGCGGTACCGTTAACAGGATACAATAAATCATACTGATCTCTCCTAAGCTTTTTGTTATTGAATAATTGCATCACATCCTGCTTTCTGTGAGATAGATATGCATCGACTGATGTATAAGTGTTCCCAGCATCAGTTTTGGCAAGTTTTACAAAATATTTCCTTAAAACGTCAGCACATATGTCTACCACAAAGCAAACAAGTCTATAATATTTGTCTGCCATCTGTAAAATAAACAAGAAATAAGGAAACCCTTTATAAATATAAACAAATAGCATTATTTATTTCTTAATTTTTGTAGAAAAAACGTGTATGCATTATTTCATTAGCAAAAGTTATACAAATGTTGATAAATATCAATTAATTAATGTGCAAAAGTAACTAATAATCCATTTTTATAATTCAATACAGTTAAATTATTGCTGCACATTTTTTGAAGTATTTTTATATAGAATAAATAGCACAACCAGGATTATCTTAGGTAATAGCACAACCAAGATTATCTAAGGTAAACCAGGTTTTAATACAGTTAAAATTGGCAAAAATAGACAATTATAAGTTTATAACATATTCCGCTGATATAACAGCAATGTCTTATTATTCATCTTATGCTAGGGTATCTTTCATGACATTGTTCATGAGGAAATAAATTGAGTGATATGTATAAAATGGATTAATTTCATACCTATTTCAGACTAAGTTTCTCGACAAAGTACAATGACCAATATATATATCTCTTTCAATATCTACCGGGTTTTATACATAGGTATCTTATACGTTACAGTGAAATTAAAAGAACTATAATCTAGTGAGTTTAACAAGGTCACACATGGAGTAATTTTAAAATAGTAACTGACGCTCTACTACCTACGGAAGCCCATTGAGGCCGTTTTGAGTTAGAAGTAAGAACTTAGATGTTAGATCTTAGAACTTAGATCTTAGAACTTAGGTCTTAGTTCTTAGAACAAGAGGTTCTGTATATGCGGGAAAACGCCATATTGAATGCAAGATAGACATGAAGATGTATGTGAGGTAAACTTCTTATTATATTTCTTTGATATATATTTTGTTTTTAAGAATTGAATTGATATAGCTATTATGTTAAAAGATTGGGTGATCTTATCTGTATAACTTAAAAAGCTTTGTGAAAAGCAAAAAATTTCAATAGGAGGCAGGGAGGCTTTTTAGCCCATTGTAGTTATTTTAGCCAAACCTTGCAACAAAAAAGACCTACGATGAGGGACACAAGCGTCAAAACGGATATCTGTTGCCTGTCTTAGTGTGTTATTCCCCAACTTTGGAACAGTATTTAAAGTTGTGTAATTGTCAGTTTGGTTGGTTTCGTAATGTGAACAAAAATAATTTGATTATTTTTCTAATTGCAGAATCTTCTTTATTCCTTTAAGGACGACGAAAATGGTGTCAACATGGGCATGGATGTTTTGAATTGGCTGATATAACACCAGTATCTACCAGTATCTAGTGTTGTGATCATGGATTTAACTGTCATTCTCAGAGGGGCACATTTAACAAGATTAGAACTGATTACAAATAACTTATGAATAGTTTATTTTACAAGGCTAACAACCATGTCCAACGCAAAACACGTACACCTATAAGGACAAAGTAAAGGACCCCATTATGGTAGTAATCCTGAGGAGTGTCAAGTGTTTAGGTTTCGATCGATGTTGCACAAATTAGAGACTGACTACCGGTTGAAATGTCTAGGGATTCTGTAATGAGGCTAATGCCACAAATCGATGCCGAAGGAACTAATAAACGCAAAGCCACTGATCATCTCAGCGAAGATATGTCTCAAAAGGTCCTTACATTGTGTGGCATGTAAAATGGTGTCAACATGGGCATGGATGTTTTGAATTGGCTGATATAACACCAGTATCTACCAGTATCTAGTGTTGTGATCATGGATTTAACTGTCATTCTCAGAGGGGCACATTTAACAAGATTAGAACTGATTACAAATAACTTATGAATAGTTTATTTTACAAGGCTAACAACCATGTCCAACGCAAAACACGTACACCTATAAGGACAAAGTAAAGGACCCCATTATGGTAGTAATCCTGAGGAGTGTCAAGTGTTTAGGTTTCGATCGATGTTGCACAAATTAGAGACTGACTACCGGTTGAAATGTCTAGGGATTCTGTAATGAGGCTAATGCCACAAATCGATGCCGAAGGAACTAATAAACGCAAAGCCACTGATCATCTCAGCGAAGATATGTCTCAAAAGGTCCTTACATTGTGTGGCATGTAAATTGTTACGAAAAGTTAAAGCCATATGGATCCTGCATTCACGGAGCAATAGACGGGTACAGTCGTCACATTTTATGCCTCGAAGTATCAAACAGCAACAAATCGCCTTCAATGATAGTGTCATATTTCATTGACACCTTAAATGAATTAGGCATTTTACAGAAATGTTTATCAAAGTTCTTAGTTCATCGTTCTGGTTTAATTTCAAATTCAAATGTATGTTTTGAATATATGAAGGATTGAGAAACTGTATATTTTCTTAATCTTTTAACAAAACGTTTAAAAATACGTATTTTGTTAACTCTTTATTTTCTATGTTTTATTTCATCTGAACCATGCTTAAGAATAAACATCGTAAACTTTACAGCCTTGGTTTGGAGTTTCTTCAATATAAGGGAAATTTGTTAGAACTAGATTTTATTGGATTTTACCATAAAATTAGAATTTCTTGACCTTTTTGTCTCATGGTATCTCTGAAATCAAAGGAACTTCTTTTTTCTATAAATAGTCGATGTAGACCTACATATATCATTGATCTTTACCATAAATATTATTGTAACAGAGCTGTAAGTATTAATTACTTATTGAGTGTGCACGGGGGTATGTATCATGTTTTGCAGTTTACTGTTATTTGAATAAAGTTTAAAGTATTGCGAACGGAGTTATCTTTTTCTTCTTTTAGCTCTTTCAAAACCGACATTTTTAAGTTCTAATAAATAAGTTCTAATGTCTTAGTTCTAATGTCTAAGTTCTAATTACTAAGTTCTAATGTCTAAGTTCTAATAACTAAGTTCTAATTGTCTAAGTTCTAAAGTCTAAGTTCTACTGTCTATGTTCTAAGAACTAAGTTCTAATGTCTAAGTTCTAATATCTAAGTTTTAAGATAGAATTATGCCCGTTTGTCACCTTAGGGAATTGTAGCAAATGGCAATTTATTTCAATACTATATAAGACAAATGCTTATATAGGTTATTGACAATATTCCTGGCATCATTTAGCACAAAAGATATTATTATGACACACAGGTTGAAGGGTCTGAAATCACATAAATCTTAATTTAAAATTACAATATATAATTAACAATAAAATCAATATAATAATTAATAAATATTATGATTTATAATTAATAATTATGAATGCCAACACGAAACCAAATTGCATGTTCATTGTAAGTCATTGTAAAAATGTTCCACGATCATCTGTAAAAATTCAAGGTTCGTTAATGGCTGTCAAAAACTTTCCGTTATTCGACGACAACACTCGAACAAGTTTCTCGGTTACAATGAGGCCCTTTATGTGATCCATAAAGTTCTGCCATATCTTTATGTCTTCTTGATCAACACGATGACCACAGTTATGCCCACCATAGATTCCAGGTACAAAATGCATTATATCAGGTCTTCCGCAAGGTATTTCAAAATTCTTTTGGGTTTAGCTTGTCATGTAGAGTTCTGCTTGGATCAAATCCATAAACAATATCTTATACATTCCATGTGTACACGATTTGTTATATCCAAACATTGAAATCAATAAGCTCCTTGAAAAATGAAATCCGCCGATACGAAGTAATCCCTACCAGGATTCTAAACGCTGATTTGCTACACTCTTTCCATACATAAAACTGTTCAACCCTGCTACGCTTTATGTGCCGTTAAAGCAGAAAAAATGTTGAAGCAATGCTAGCGTTGAATTTTCAGCTCCTCTAATGTCTCTGCGTAGTATGACAATATCATTGCCGGCGAGTTGTCGCTGTTTGATACTGTTTGAGCCATAAAATGAGTCGACTGTACAGATCGCTCCGAGGATGCAGAATCAACATGGCTTTAACTTGTCGTATCACACAAAGTTGATCAGTTCTAGTCTTGTTAAATGCGCCCCTCCGAGAATGACAGCTTAATCTGTGATTACAACACTTGTTACTGGTGTATTAACAAACAGCCAAATTCCAAACCTCCATGCTAATTTAGAGTCTATTTTAATAATCCGGAAAAGGGATAAAGAAGATTCTGCAATAGGAAAAATAATCAAATTATTTTAATACACATTAGAAAACCGACATTTTTTAATTATTATAAACTATTAGAAGCACAATTTCAAATACTGTTTCAAATTTGATAATTGGGGAATACATAAATACAGTCAACAGATATATCAGTTTTAAAGCTTGTGTCCCTCATCGAAGATTTTTTTTGGTAGCCAGGTTCGGTTAAAATAGCTAGAACTGGGTAAAATAGCTACTTATGGAGTTGATTTGTCCCAGCTTGTTGAAGATAGATTGGTCGACCTTTGTCTCCTGTTGTTTTTACCCGGTCCTTATATATAATATACATTAATTTAATCTTTTAACGTTCCAGCTATTCTTTAAATTAAAAAAATAGAATTAAAGAAATATAGTAAAAAGTTTATCTCACTTACATCTTCTTGTCTATCTTGCAGTAAATATGGCGTTTTCCCGCCTATATGGAACCTCTAAGTTCTAAGAGCCAAGTTCTAAGATCTAACATTTAAGTTCTAACTTCTAACTCAAAGCGGCCTCAATGGGCTTCCGTAACTACCTTTCGCTTTGTAGTTCGACACGAGTAACGGAGCGGAAAACTATTATCACTATAAATAGATACAGCTATGGGAATTTTACAGCTAAATATATCGCACGATACACTATTTAAATAAACATTCCTAAAAATAATCAATGAATTACGTGTAAAATAAAATAGAGAAGACATTGATTTAAATGAAAGGTCATTGTATATAAAATATAATTGTAGTGGAAA